TTGCGCCCTCCCCAGGGGCCCGGTGGCTGCCAGGACGGGCTTTGCCCATCGCCACCCGCAGGGACCGCACGTGGCCGGGGCTGGGATGCGGCGGGGTCGAGCTCGGAGGGCAGGGGTGTGCAAAAAGCCAGCTACCGATCCCGGGCGGCACCGCGGGAGCGCTCCCGAGGCCACTTCGCTGGGTTTGGGCCAAAGATTTTGCCTGGTTTTGGGTTTGGTTTTGGTTCAAAAAAAAAAAAAAAGTGGATGAGGTGTTGGGGTGCTGATCATTCACCTGGCAGCATGGTGGGAAGAGTGGGATTTGGTGACCCTTGTGGGTCCCTTCCATATGGGACTATCCTGTGACCCTAAGAAGGATGAGGACACAAATACAGAGCCCCGGCTCAGAAAAACCCACACCATTACATGGCCACAGCGAGTGTGCCCACCTGCATGCTTCACCCCACAGCCAGAAGCACCCCGAGCCCCCACCAGGGTGGTTTTGCCCCCCCAGTGAGTGAGGATGGGCAGTGGGGCTGGCTCAGGAGCAGTGCCCATGGGCAGCATCGTGCCCGGCCCCCCTCATGCCCCTCTCCGTGCCCAGCTCTGCTTCTACATCATCGTCTTGCATGCTGCACCAGGGCAGTAAAAAAGCGATAAAACGATAAAACGGGGGAAAGCTGCTATGTGAAGAGAGGCGGGTGGGGTGGCACTGCCCGGCCTTCCAGCAACACCCAACCTCATCGCGCCCCTCACCCTGGCATCGGGCACGGCTCAGCGTGGCTTAACCAGCAGCCGCAAGCGGGGTGCCCAACACCGGGAGCAATGCACGGGGGGGCTGTTTGTTCACCTAAGGCCCTGGGGCGAGTTGTTTGGCTTCTTTGCAAGCTTCTCCCCCCCAAAAAAACACGCCTTCTTGCAGCGTCTCGAGTGCTGCGTGTGTGCGCGCAGCAGCGTCGCCACCAAACTGGTTGAGCAGCTCGGCGGGGCGAGTTCTGTTGTTTCGAAAGGCTCCCAAATACATGTTGTTCGCAAGGCTCTCCTGTATAAATAAATAGCAGCGTTTCTCTCCTGACCTTTACTCTCTTGCCGGGTTTCTCCTAAGTGCAGAGCACACGAAATAGAGCCGGGTAGCCAGAAAGGAGCCCCGAGCACCGCGTCTCCGGGCGGGTGCGCACATGGTGGTATGGGGGGAGAGCTGGTGGCCGCCTTCTGCATCCTCCTCCCCAGACCCTAGGTTCGGGAGAGACCCAGAAACTTCGGCATTGCTCCTGCCCTGAGCTGAGGAGGGGCCGGAGGAGGGATGGAAAAAGCAGTGCCATCAATGCCAGCATTCACAGATCGCAGGCGAGGCCTCCGGCTTGCGCCGAGCCGGGCTGTGAACCCCCAGTGCCGATAGCAGCCCCCACTGCTGAATCTGTTGGGGCTCTCTTTTTTTAGCTTCTGGTTTGCAGGCCTGCTGGGGAAGCGAGGTTGTATCTCCAAGCGTGGCTGGGTGGCCAGAGCTTTTGCAGTTTGATCAGGAGTCTCGTGGTAGCCGGTGTTTACTCTGAAACCTGTCGTGTGGCTTTGTTCTCTCCAGCTTGCTAAAACGCCGGGAGATCCGGGGAGCTCGAGAGGAGAAAACACATCCAGAGAGCAATAAAAGAAAAATAAAACCTGGAGGAGCCCGGGCCTGATTGCTACCTTCTCCCTGCAGGCCCTACGGTGTGGGTGACTGGGTTTTGGAGGGGCAAAAGTAGCCCCTCGCCCTCTGCGCACGGAGACCCCGAGGACACCGGGTGTCGGAGCCTCGCCGGTGCTCGCTGCGAGCTCGCCCACCCCGAGGTCGCTCGTGCTGGTGGAAAGCTATCGATAACTCCCTGATTGATGGCTGGGCAAACTCGCCTTGTTTACCAACGTGGGTGTCATGCTGACAACAAACAGGTCTTTACCTGAGTGTGTCATAAGCGAGGGAGGACGGTAAATAAGCGATGACACGTAACGCTGCAAAGCCCTGGGCCGCTGGAAACAAAGGAGCAGGTTCCTCCTCTGCGTGGCACGGTGTGGCAGAAGCAAATCGAACGCTCGGTCATCTCCTTGGAAAACACCGGAGAAAGCATCAGCTGCTTGGAAAAGGAGAAAGGGAACATTTGACCTCGCCCCTAGATCATAAGGCTTCGGGGCAGGGGCTGTTTCTATCCCGAGTTTGCCCAGCACATGCGGGCATCAGTGTCAGGGCTGGAAAGAAAGTTCCAGTGTGGGCATGATGCTGCTGGGGACAGAGGCAAAAACCTTGTGCAAAGCCTCTTGGAGCAGTCCCCGTGCCACAGCTGCTGGCTCATACATGGTGCCCTGGGACCCCCACGCTGGCCACGGTGTCCCCCCCACCCCCAGGGCTGCAGCCAGAGCCCAGCTCACGCCTCGCCGCATCCTCCCCTGAACAAAATCCAACGGGCGGTAATTACTGCCGTGCCAGAATCTCTTAATTACACTGCTGCGGGTGCCAGGCAGGCCCAAGGCTTTGGAGAAATGAGCCTGGATTTCAGCAGAAAGCCCATCAAAGTCTGGAGCAAAAGCCTTATTGAAGCAGCTCGCCTGGATATGCACGGGCACAAGTGAGGACGGAAAATGTCTCTTCCCCTGCCCATTCCCTGCTCAGAGCTTTCCCCGAGCACCTCCATGCCCTGGGGACATCCCTGTCCCCAATTGCTGCAGGTGGTGGGCAGGAGGGGCTGCATGCCTGCAGGCAGGGGAAAGAGGTTTTCTCTCCTTTCCCTTCAGCCACAAATTTTCACAGCTCCTCCAAAAGCACTTTCAGTCTGTCTTCACCCATTTCTTCTTCTTAGGTCAGAGATGGATGCTGCAGATCAGCCTGACTCGAGGCAGGGCCATCAGTATTTAAACTCAGGTCCAGTTTTTCAGGTCCTGAGCGCATCATTTCCCTTTGCCTCAGGTTCCCCACCTGTGAAATGGGGCTGAAAGCTGCAAAAAGGAGCAAGGCAGTGCCTTGGGCCGTGCAGATGCCGGGGCCGCTCTCTGGCTCTCCCTTTTTGCCAGGGATTTAATGAGCAGGGAGGCAGCGAGCCCGGGAGGTGCTGAGCTGTGGCGGGTGCTGCTGAGAGCTGCCATAAATCCCTAATCTCAGGGAGACCCCCACCAATTTTTGGGGACGGACAACCCCAGGGGACAGCGGGACGGCCACGCAGAGGCTGGGGAGGTGCTGAGTGTGACACCCACGGGGACAAAACTTTTCCTTCAGCCCCCCCCCCAGCCCGTGCCACACACGCACGCGCTTGCACACGCACGCACGCACACACAGCGTTCCTGGGTTTATTTTATATTTTCCCTCGTAAAGATTTGTGTCCGTGCTGCTCTCCTATCAAAGCCAGCAGTGGCCCCTAGGATAAACATGCGGTCAGAAGACAGAAAACTCCAGGCTAAAACACTATTCGTTTCACCCATAGCAGCATAAACTGAGAGGCTTTTAAGAAGGGCGAATGGTTTTCAGTAAATCTCTCATATCAGCAGAAACCTTTGAAAGAGTTTGTTTAAAGGCTGTGGAGATAAACAGCCCGGCCAAGTGTTTGTTTAAGATGTATGTACTCTGTGTCGACTGGTAGGCTGGTATTTATATCGAGGGGGGGGGGAAGGAGAGCGAGGAGCTTTTTGACCCTTTGCTAGCTCGGGCTGCGTGAACTTGGGTGCTGCAGGAGCCGGGGGGGGGGGGGACGTGAGGGGCGCGGGGGCTTCGTTTCCCCATCGTGCAGAGGCGTGCGAGGTCCTGGCTGAGCTGGCCGTGCCAGGCACCGGCTGGATAAACGCCTGGCCAGGGATTCCCCGACGCACAGGGTTCGGGGTTGGAACCAGCAGCAGGAGGAGAGGGGAGGGAGAAGGATGCGCAAAGCCCGGCAGGCAGGAGGGGGGCTCAGCCCGCTGCCAGCGGAGCTCGAAGCCTTCTCTTGCTGGAAACGGCCCCTCAACAGGCAGCAAAAGGGGGTTTAGGGAAGGGGGCTGCGTTTTGAGTGGCGTTGGCTGGAGGGTGACAGAGCTGGAGGTGGCTAGCAGCACGCTGGAGCATCCTGAACGCGGTGGCCCCAGGGACAGGATGGGACGGGGAGAGCAGAGGGCACCTGAACCGCCCCCGAGCAGCAGCAACACAGGGGCTGGGAGGTGCCTTTCGGTCACAGCTCTCCGGAGAGCCCATGACTGAGCCACCTGAGCACCCAGATGAGCACCTGAGCACCCAAATGTGCACCCAAGTGCTTGCACACAGCACCCAAGCACCATCACTTGGCACCCATGGGTCCCATGGCACAGCCCCTCGGGCAGGGCAGAGGCTGGGGAGCCCCCATCAGAGCACCCCAGATGGCAGAGCTGGGGTTATCCTGGCAGCGAGCTGCTTCTGTCACCTTCCCTCTCAGACCTGCCCTGGTAAATGATGGTTTTCACCTCCCTGAATTAAACGAATGCGGGTGTTTAACAGCCTGCCTCCAGAAAGGAGGTGCTCTCAGAAGGGACTTGCTCTAGATTTATCCTTGTGTAGCCAGAAGCAGGATTTGGCCTGTTTCCTCGGCTGGCAGGGCACACGCAGCATCCCAACCAGCTGAGCTGGGCACGTGAATATCTCTTATAGCATCCTCCCTCATCCTCAGGAATCCCGGCAGTGCTTATGGATCCTCCAGGTCCGCTCAGTGCTTCTCCTGCCACTTTCAGGGCAGGTGCTGGGGTCAGGATCAGAGTATCCTACAGATCTGCTGGACGTGGGAAGGGATGAAGGGATGGGACTGGAGGGGATGAGGAAGAGCCAATTCTACCAGGTGGAACCCATACACTGAGAGCTGAACCCTCAGCTGCTTTAAATCACTGGTGCCAGGGGAGCAGCACCAATTACACCAGCTGATTTGGCCCAGAGGGGGTTGAGGTGCAGCTGGTGCTCGTATTCTCCACCACTGGCAACCCAGGGCACCTGGATAAAAGGGGCTCAGGGCAGGGGCTGTGTTTCCCCACTCCTTGTGGCAGTGTTGATGCTTTTTGGGGACAGGATGCTGGCTCTGAGGATGTGTGAGGTGACTCTATTTGGGCAGCAAGTCCCAGAAGCTGCAGGTAAGACCCAAAATCTGCAGGATAATTGTGTCTGATGCTTTATAGCCTGAAGAAAATGCGGGCTGTCTTCTCTTACCTGCTGTATTTTGCAGGTGTAATAGCAGTTCATAATCAGTGCAAGTGTCCCAGTTAAATAAAAAAACAAGGAACGTAAAATAAAAATAAAAAGCTGCAAATAGAATAGAAACACTACATTTTTTTTAAATTAGTGTGAAATGGAATTTAGAAGAAAAAAAATAGATCTTTAGCTGAGTGTTTTGTTTACAGAAAATCAGATGATCCTGTTTTGAGCTTTTAAAACTGTTGTCATACTTGTGATTGTTAGAGGCACTAAATGTTCTCCAAACAAATCCCTTTGGAAAGCGCCTCCCCATCTCTGAGCTGCACAACCAAGGCACTGTTGGCCTGCTCCTGTTTCCTCCTTCCTGCCGTGGAAGGCTGCTCAGAGCTGATCTGCTTTTGAGAAGTTTTGATTTGGCCTAAAGCTGGTGGAATTTTGATGCATTTATCCTCATTGCTTGCTGCTGCTGCTGGGTCTATCACAAGGCTATCGAGCACCCTGAGGCTGGTTGGGGAAGAATTTGCTGTACTCCTAGGAGGAATATTAACAATTTTATTATTATTTGTCCCAAAATTATTTGGGACAAGCTGGAGGGAGCCTGGCACTGGGGATGGAGCTGATGCACCCCCTCGCCTCCCAGCACTGCCCCAGGGGATGCTCAAGGGGCTGCCCTGGCTCTCCCTCGCAGCAGTGTCCTCTGCTCTCCTGTGCCTTACAAACAGGCCATGATCTCCCTTGGTTGCACGTTGCAGTGTTCTTGTACTTTTCCCTGCCCCAAAACTTGGCTGTCCCTGCACCAGGATCACAGGGAGCAGCGATCCCATCCTCCCTGCAGCGACCTCTCACACCGTTATCGGCTGCCCTCCTTAGCCTTCTCCGGGCTAGACTAAACAACCGCAGCTCCTCCAGCCTCTCCTTGTGGGTTGTGCTTTCCCAACCTCTTATCGTTGTTTCTCTGCTCTTCTTTGAACTCCCTCTGGTTTGCTGATCTCCTTCCCAAGGAGCACCACGGGGCGAGCACCAGCCAAGCATCCCCACTGCAGCCCCTTTTGCTCCACACCCCGTGGGTCTGTGCCAAGCTCTCCATCAGGTGGAGACATCCCAGAGCACTTTTTGGTGTGCCCCTGGCTCACCAGCTGCCATAATTATTTTGCTATTGGGCTGAGTGCATCCCCTTAGGTCGTTCCTCTGTTTACTGAGATGTTTTGGGGATAATCCTGCCTCCCCTCTCTAGGGTGCTCTCGTGGATGCACTTCCCACCACCTGAACCATGAACCCAGGCTGGGGGTGAAGATTTCACCTCGAGACCACTGCCTCCACTTGCTTAGGAGAACACCGGGGGCTGCACCAGCTGTTCTGAAGCCAGCTGTGGTCCCATCCTCTGCTTTCCCCAATTCCACTGCCCAGCCACCTCCTCCCTTTGCTGTTCTCTCTCGTCTCTTTACAAACTGATTGCTTAATAATCTATCTGTGCGTTTTTCTGCGTATCAATTTATTCTGGCTAATCCCCCCCTTTAATCACAGAGTTGTGACCGTCTCCTCCAGCCCTCTGGGAATTCACCACCTGAGTGCAAACTGGTGGATCTGGAGGGATTTGGGCCCTCCTGGTGTACAAGAGGGGACCCCAGGGGCTTCTCTAAGCCTGTCTCCAAGTGGAGCAGTGGCAAGGTCTGGGGGCCCTTTGGGGCTCCGCATTGAATGGTGACAGCTTTGGTGTGGTGGCACTGCTCCCATGAGAGATGGGCAGGGATGTGCCAGGCTCTCTGGCACCAGAGCTCTTTGCCATGCCCATCACCCCGCTGCACATCACAAAATCAGATCCCGAGGTCCCACCTTCCTTGCCCGGTGGGGATTTGGGTCTTCTCGGTTCCTTTTCCAGCCCATAAAACGCCCATTCCCCTCCCTGGCTCTGTCCTTCCCCTCCTCGTTCCTGTGCAAAGGAAAGCCCTCAGCGAGATACTGCTTTAAAACCCAGAAGCCAATACTTTTCTTTTCAAACCTCAGCATTTCATCTTCCCTCTAAGAAGGAAGGAAGCCCCTTTTGTTGAGTACACAGCCTGTAATTTCCCTGTCAGATCCTAGCAGCAGGTCAGTGTTGTGACTGACTGAGTGAGGATCGCTCCCTTAAGGGTAATTACACTAAATTTCCTTTTGAAGGACAGCTTTCGCTGGATATGATACAAGGAACCCGCTTTTTTTTTTTTTCCATTCACTTAAATTCATGAATTCAGTGGCTGTCACCGTGCGCGCGGGAGCTGGAAGGGGCGCGAGTCCCCCGGCGGAGGCGGCGATGGGCGAGCGGGGACGGACGGCGCGGGCACCGGGAGCTCCTCGGGGATGCGGGGCTGGAAAGTGGCTGCGAAGGGACCTGGGATTTCTCTGCCCCCCCCTCTCCATGCTCTGTCTTCGCTCTCCTTCCCCTCGCTGCCACCTGGGTGGCATCGCGCGGCTCCATCCATCACTCTCCGGCGTCTCGATCGCTCCTTGTGGGCTCACCCTCCGTGTGTCCAGGAGTCACTCGTCAACAACAAACAGTTAAAAGGAAGAAAATAGGCTGGAAATATCAATGCACTTTGGTAACAATAAACCCTGCTTTTAATTTATGCTAATATGTAGGGTTGTGGTGACAGTAAGAACAAAATTACAGAGTGGCTTTCTAGCTGGTAATTATCCCTCCATTTTCGTTGCTCGGGAAGATGGACACACAATTATGCTCTCTTGCTGTATATTAATACGGATTCTTGACATCTTCAGCAGACCTGGAGCTGTCATCGGGCTTTTTGTCTACTTTAATTGAAAATTAATGGTTACTGTGTTACCACGGAAACCGTGGCAATGGACGCCAATAGCGCTCACATATCAAACAGGCACTGGTGGCATTGTCTGTCCGTGTTGACCTTGAAAGTTAAAAGAAAAACTTAAATAAAAAAAAAAAAGAGAGGGGTAGGAAAGAAGGGGAAAAAAAAAACCTTGAAAACCGAGGGGTGGATACGGAATCAAAGGAAGGGAAGAAGGGGGGAAAAAAGAGGGATGCGAAGGAAAAACTTGGTGTCTCTTGTATCTGGAAGGGGAGGAAAAAAAAAAGCCTCAAAGCAAGGAGTCGGAGAGCGCTGTGTGAGCGCAGCGGCCTCGTGAGCAGCTCTGGGGTCACCCCAGCTCGGTGTCCTCGAGCCAGGAGGAGCGCAGCCACCAGCGTGCAAGCAAGGTGTGAGCGTGGGGATGGCCGTGCCAAGGAGCCCCTGGCAGGGGGAAGCTGGTGGGGGGGAGAAAAGAGACAGGGAAGGCAAGGAGGAGAAATAGGTCGGAGAGATGAGAGTCCGGGTTTGCTTGGAGTGGGAATGCTGAACGGAGCAGAGGGTGGGCGCAGAGCGCTGCCTCTGTCTGGGTCAGGAGCAGGGTTGGAAATGTGATTTTGGGTACGTTCTGCTTTCCCTGGTGCCCACCTTTTGCTGTCTCCTCTCTCGCCTGGATCACCAAGGGCTGCTCTGCGCCTTTGTTAGCGAATAACGGAGGGGCAGGCTTCTCTTCGGGAGCTTGGGACTTCTGGGTCCCCTTCACACCTAAGTGAGCTGCCTAATTGGCTTGGCTTTTCCTCCTCCTCTCTTGCTCTCCGTGAGCTTCCCATGACCTGTGGGCCTGCTTTTAGCAGAAGCTGGAGCACGGGGAAAGGCAGCCACCGTGCTTCCAGTGCCCAGATGAGAAACGGTGTGGAGGATTGAAGCGGGAGCAGTTTCATCAGGAAGTGGAACAGGGAAATTTGGGAAACCCTGGGACAAGGCAGACAACCCTTGGGGCCCTGCAGCTGCTCGGTGCATCCATGGGTGGGATGATTTTGGGGCCAGCCAGGGCAGAGATGCCCGCCTGGTACCTTCATGCCCTCTGCATCCTTGCTCCCTTGCCAACACCTCCGGATGCGGTGCCAACGTGAACCCCAGCCCCTTTGGGAAGGTGATCCAGGGCCTTTTAAAGCTGAGTACCACGGGAGCCCGTCCTCCTCCAGAGCAAACAAGAAGACAAACACAGCGGAGGCGTGCCTGAAAGCCGGAGTCTTTTTTCATTTTCCCTGCATCCCTGATCCCAACCTTAATCCCCGCACTGAATCCTGTCAGCCCGGCTGTTCTCGCACTGACATTGCTGCAGGCATCTTCTCCGCTGCCTTCCCTCAGATCTGCCTCCTCCTGGGACGTCTAAAGAGGACTCCGAGATTTCTGTGTTACTGGATGATTCACTCCGTGCCCTCCAGCAAAGCGCTGGGGCTCCCCGGGGGAAGGAAGCAGGCGGAGGGGGGACGGGGGCTGCGGTGCCGATGCCGTGCCGGCGAATGCTCCGGCTGCGCACCGAGGCTCCGGGCATCTCAGCGGGGTTGGGCAAAAACAAGAGCAAGGGGTGGGCAGGGACAGGGTGCTGCTGCTGGTGCCTGGGGTGGTGGAAGACATACCCATCACCCCAGACACCTTCATCATTTTGCTGTTATGCCTTTATGGTCATGCTCCTTTCTGCTCCTGATTTTGCCCAGCTCGCCATCGATCAGAGGCTATGAACATTTAGGGACAGGTGCATCCCATGGGCTGCCTGCCTGACTATGCCACCCCATTACCTTTGGGGTGGGAAGGACACCAGGAGAGCATGGGGCTTTCTCCAGGTGGGTCTCCCAGCCCCGTGCCAGGTGCCACCAGCTCTCCCCTCCTGGTGTGACACCGGGGGCTGGTGATGGCGCAGAGACCGCGGCTGAGCCATCTCGCCCTAACCTCCAAGGTGCAGCAGGGGAAGAAGGGAAATAAGTTTGTATGCCAAAATCTTCTCACCTGGCTACTTGTAGCTGTGGCAGCAGCGTGGGGTCTGGGTCATCAGCTGGGGTTTGTGCCTCAGGTGGAAGCAGGGCCCGGACCCAAGCACCTCTGCCTTCAGGAGGCTGGAAAACAGAGCGTGTTCCTTGGCTGTGAGCAACGGGCTCCACATTCGGGTGGGTTACCTCAATAAAAACCAACCAAGCCCAACTGAAACTCCTCCAACAAACTTCCCCCTCGGTTGGAGAGGGGACGACGGCTTCTCACGTCCACCCTCAGGCCCCTTTCCCAACCCCAAGTGGGGAGGTGGGACCGAGAGCGGCCACGGGTGCCCTGGCAGCCCCCGGTACCCAGGGTGGACCCCAGGGCTCTGTCCCCTGCTGGGTCCACCCGAGCCAGCCCCGAGCCTCGCAGGCACTTGTCACCTCCCCTTGTCACCTCTCCCATGTGCTCTGATCCCGCACCCGGGTGTCAGCGCCATGGCACGAAGCTTTTTCTGTGCTTTACGTGGGCACTCGGCAGACGGGCTGCGGGTTGGTTTTTTAATTCTCTGTGTGGGGACTTTAACTGTACATGTTTGGATTTTATTAGCCTGCCTACGTGGGTTTTATGACAGGAAAGGTGGGCATTTTAACGAACTGCTCAGGACACAGGAACAAGAATGGAAAGAGATTTTCAATGGCGCTTTAATAAATAACAAAACACATCGATTTAAATGTTGTAAGCAATAAAAAGCGTATATATTATTGAACACACGTAGTTCCTCTGACCTTAAAATCCATTATTATCCCAGAAATCCAGCCGTGCCTGCTACCCAGCCAAGAATATTTCCACTTTTGGGGTTTGGGGTGAAAGGTGCAGGAGGGTCTCGTGCACCCAGGGCACGATGGAGACACCGAGGGGCAGTCTGGTGGCGTGGTGCACCTGGGGAGGCTCGCTTTGTAGGGCAACTCTGGGGATGTTATGAGGAAAGAAACATCTGTGTGGGACCACGAAGCATGTTTTCCCTTTAGGAAATCCCCCTTGCTGGCACCACCAGCCCTGCCCTTCCCCTTCACTCCTGGGGTGCCCATGGAGCAAGGACGGAGGGGATGCACAGGGAGCTCCGCGCAGTGCCCAGGATGGTGGCATCGTGGAGCAAACCCCACGCCAAACCCAAGTGCTATCTTTTGGCCCAAGTTCTCCCCCTTTTTTTTTTTTTTTCCTTTAATTCTCAGATCAACGTGAAGGGGGCTACGGCCCCGGCTGAGGTCTGCAGTAACCCGACGCGGGGGCAGAGGGGGAGGGCTGAATTCCTTCAAGAGCCTGAAAATATCTTTCTTTTTTGAAATGTTTGTATAGCATGACTTGGCCGATTTACCTCATAATATCTCACGTTGGCCTAAAGCCGAGGGCATTAGCGAAACTGTGAGCCAGATAAATGATTCTAGCGCTTTTTCTTCTCCGTATCTGCTGTTACAATAAAAAGGGCCTTTTCCATCCAACCGCCTCCCGTTAACCCAGGCGGTGCCGGGGCCAGGGAGGCAGGGGAGGCGCGGAGGCGGACACCGCTGGCAGGAGCAGAGGCCGTGTGTTTGCACAGCCAGGAGTGGAAAAAGCCGTGGAGAGAGCCCTTTGTGTTTCCTGGCACACGGGGGTTGCGAGCCCGGAGCCGCGAGCTTGCGGGCAGTGACGTTACCCAGAGGAAGCATTTCGGTATTCCCATGCAGACGCGGTTCCCAGCTGATGGGCGTCTTCTCCAGAGGCTGCAGCCTCCCTCCAAATGCCACCTTGGTGGTCTCCAGGATGGCTTCAGTCCCAGTATTCAACAAAAGGGCAAGAGAATTTGTTGGTTTTTTGTTTTTTTTTTTTTTACAGGTCTGCCTCCAAGAAATGGGGGCACGGGGCGGGCTGCGCTCACGGCAGCGGTGTGGTGATGGCTAAGAGGGTTTCCTGCAAGGTGTGCACAAGCATTGAACAACAAGGACCTGGCTGGGCATCGTGGCAAGGTAAAGGCCCACGTCACGTCTGCCAGGACAGCAACGTGGGGCTGCAGTGGGGAGAGGTGAGCGGGGAAGCATCCACACACCTCTGCTGAGCGCAAAGGGAGGCAGCGCAGCACGGTGAAACCACTGGTGCCATGCTGCACAGGTTGGGTTTGCTGAGGCAACGGGCTTTAATAAGAAATAACCTCAATTAACCTGCAACAAATCCCCAGCCCTCATTTTTTGGGGCTGGTGGGGAGAGGAGCAGGACCTGGGGGCGAGGGGAGTGCGTTTGGGCTGCTGGTGGGAGCCTGTAAAAAAATGATAGGGCAGCCAGCGGGACCCGTCTTCCCCTCAGCTCCAGCTCAAGTCATACAGGGGGAGCTCGCTGTGACCGGGAGCAAGAAGATACTGATTTTACTCCATTAAATTGCTTTAAAAAAGGACAACTCCATCGATGCTGAAAGTGTTAAGGCGCTCGGAGTGTGGCTCAGAGCCGGGATGTTTTTGCTGGAGACGTGGTGGCTTCGCTCTCAGTAGCAGCGTTTTCAGGTCACAGCTCGCTCTCCAGCTCCTGGGTGGATGTGGATATGAGCACATTTCTCACGATGGTGTTTTCCCAGCTCACTCCCCAGCGATGGGACCTCACCTCTGAGAACCAGAAGAGGTGGTGCAGCTGATGAAACTCCAGACTTGCTCAAACCCAGGTGACGAAATGCCAAACGTGCTGCTGGGTACCACGAGGGAAGCCACAGGTGCCCAACGGAGGAACCAGCGCGGTGCTGTGCAAATGCCTGTGTAACACACGTGTGTGAAGGGCACGGGGTGATCTCCTCCCTTCCAGACACGTGGGAATGATTACACAAACCCCCAGATGAACAGTTTTCATATGTTAAAAAAGTGATCAGCCATCCGAGGAGGTGTGCCCTCTAAATTTAATTGAGCTAAGTCAAACGCAGCAAAGGCTTTGGGCTTCTGGCTGTAGAGGTTGGGTATCGCAGCGATTACGCACCAAGGACCAGGACCCGGAGGCATGGTGGGCCTGTGGGTCTCCTTTCAGGAGGTCTGTGGAAGCGGGATGTGATGCTTGGCACTATTTTAGGACAAACGCACGCATTCAGCCCCGGCACATCTCTCCCAAAGCCCACACCAGGCAGGAATATCGGTAATCCGCGCTGTTTGGGCCCTTGCACCCTTCCTATCGCTTCCTATCTCCACTCGGGTATCTGATTTGGCCTCGGGGAGTTATGCCACAATTAATTGCCCGTTTCCTCGGCAACGGGATTGGGATCCGGAGGGAGCCCAGAGGTGGGATTGGGATGAGCCCAGCTCGTGGCGCGCCCCGCTCGGCGCGGGGTAGGTGCGCACCTCCCTGCACGTCGGTGACCTCATGCTGCAGACATGGATGAGGTCACTGGGATAATTGCCCTCCCAAAACGCCGTATCTTGCGGGAAGAGGCTGTTATGAAGCTGGAGAACTTGCTAAGGCAGAAAGTACGTTGTATGCCCCTGGCCGAGAGGGAAGCTCGGCAGCAGAGCGTGCCAAGACCTCCAAAAAACAGACCTCAGGCTCCGGGGGCATGGCAGGGGAAGAGACGCCGGCAGCCAAGATCGGGCGCTGGGGGAAGCCAGGGGGATAATTGCAGGAGGAAGATCCGTGGTTCCCCACAGGCAATGGGTGCGACCTTGCAGGGACCTGCCCTCCCCAGGGCACACGGGGCTGGGCTCGCCGCGTGGAGCAGGGCTCCAGACGCTTCGGGACAGAGCCCTGCAGACACCGAGGAGCTCGGCGTGGCCGAATTTCAGCAGGTTGGCTCGGCTCTAGGGCTGCACCTGGAGCAAATCCCTGCAGCACGCCGTGCCTCAGTTTCCCTGCTTGCACAAGAGCAGGAACGATGCCCTGCCACCCTCGCAAAGCAGTCGGAAAGCGTTGTTGGCAAAAATGTCACCGGGGCGATGGTATCGCTCACCTAACCCTCCCTGCTCACCGCCAGGGAAAACTCCACCGTGTTTCATCCTCCGGTACAAAGTTGCTGCAGCCTCAGAGCGAAGCGGTCCCTACCCTGCAGTGGTGTTCCTCCCCTGCTCCGTTTTCAGCTGGTTCTTCTCCCCGCAGCCACATGACAGGTATTTGAAAAGAAGCTGAGAACAGCGCTATCAAGCCCTCGCAGTTACCGGGACGAGCCAGACTTTAAGGAGACGGCGTATGAGTGAGTTTCACGGGAAAACAAACAGAAATACTTTTGTCACTGCATCAGAAAAAAAGAAAGAAAAAGAAAAAAAAAAAAAAAAAAAGAGGGAAAAAAAATAGCCACTCTGTGGAAAAAATCAACTCTTTCCTGAATAAAGCAGAAAAAAATGCTGCCGTATTGAGCTGTGACATATGGTTACACAAATAGAAACCACAGAGGGGAAAATCATGTTTTCTCTTTCATTATTTATCACTCTCTAACTGTCTCCAGCTGGGTGAGTAAACAGCCTCATTGGGCTGTAATGAGAACAGCCTGCTGCCACTGTGCTCCGGGCTGCCGGATCCGGCGGCGCGTGTGCACGGGGGGTGCGAGCGCTGCGCCCCCGGCCCCGTGAGCTGAGCCCCCCCGGGACTGGGGACACGCGGCCCCATGGTGCCCGCAGCATCCTCCCCTCGGCAAGCGCTAACAAGGGGCAGGCTCGGAGTTAAACGAAGCGGGCTGCTCCCGGTTATGGCGCGGGGGAATTATGTGCCCAATTTCCCCCCTGAGCCGCGTTGCAAATTGACTCCTAAGTGTCCCGTGAAATGGCTGCATAATTTGCGCATTTGCGACGCGG